TTTTGCTCCGGTTTCCTTGGACCAGGGGATGGTGAGGCAAAAAAAAAAAAAAAAAAAGTTGCTTCAAACTTAATGAAGACTTTCAGCTACGATGACCTTCCTTCAGCAAAACGATGTAAACAGAGACAACGCTTAATGCACATAAAATAAGACGAGGCCTTGAGAATATATCTGTTCATTATTTCATCAGCATTCAGAATCATCTCTCCGTAATAAGCAGCAGTGACTTTCAGGTGTCTCGTCTGGTTCAGGCTCTAACACACACACAGATGTACGCTGTCTGTTGATCTGACTGGCAACAGGAAGTGAGATGTCTCAGCTGGTTTTTGTCACCTGCTCTTTTTCCTCTCATCAACTACTGTGAGAAGCTGGTAAAAGACAACGGTGTTAAAACAGTGAGTGAGCAGCTGCATCTTCGCCAAGGTGCTGAAAAGTCCTCTGTCTCTCTAAACGTTGCCTCTATTCTCTATTACCGCCCGAGTTTTATGAACCACAGAGCGATTCCACTCATATCAACATACTATTCCCCGCGAGTCGTTTTCTTTCTGACCTTAGTCTTGTCTGCCTCGTTGTCCCAGTTTAGCCGTACAGCCATGTTGGTGCTATAAGAAGCATCGGGGGTGGGCGGTCTGTGATTTCCCTCTATGCTTATTATGCTGACAGCTGCAGAAAAGTAAGTGCTGCAGCGTCTCTAATTATTTTCACCTTTCAAAGCATCGGGTGGCCCCAGTTATACCTGTCCACCAGCCTCTCATTGTTTGTGTGCGTGTGTGTGTGTGTGTGTAAGTAGGATGACTTTAACAACTCTTCATCTGCATTGCTGCCCACTTGTGTCAAGAGGTCCTAGCTGGAAATTTTTCATAAAGCTGGGAGGGAATCCTGCAGACTTTCTAATTAAAACTGTGTCCTCTAGCAAAAGTGATCTGCTGACATGAGCGGATGCAGGGTGATTATGGGTGATGTATTGTCTTAAAGAGCAAATATTATAAATGCAAGCAAACGCCACGTCCGTGTTTTGTGTAACTGAACACACACACACACACACACACACACACACACACACCGAATCTTTGAAGGACACGACTAGCGGTGTCTGTCTCTTCCAAGTTGCTACTGTAGTGAAATTCTCAGTGTTGCTGATGCAACCAAGAGGTAACTCTACCTATCAACTAAGGGAACTTAAAGGCTGATATAAGAAAAGCCCCTGTGGACACACAACCGCAGGGCATCTCTTATTGACACTGCCGCACTTTTGCGAAACTCACTGTAAAGCAGATACAGACAATAGAGGAGGAGAGTGTTGAAACTGAGTGTTTGAGAAGTGACTTAGAGGAGTTGTGCAAGGGCTCTGAGGACAAAACTAACTATTGCACAGAGCTTAAGGTTCGCTCTTACACATTATTCTGCACAGATTAAAGATAGAATAGAGAATGGATTCTGAAACTGACACTCACATCATACATGTACATTACTTACACAAGTTGTACAATGAATGCAAGAGTCTTTTTTTTTTTTCTCTGCTTAGAGATCTTGAAATAGCTCGAACTTTTCACAAGAAACTGTTTCAGTAACAAGACAAACTTCTGCAGGTGTTTCTAGACAGGACACTGTAAGAACCTGGATCCCCCAGGAACTCCCTAATTCCAAGACCCTTACAGTGAGTCGATCTCTTTAGCTCTGCTGTGCTGTGTGAGGTGTTTTACAGCTCTGTCTTAACTAAAGTAAACTGCATTCTAAATTAAGTTTTAAAAGAACTAAAGAATTTGAAAAGTGCCACGAAGTCTGTGAAAGGAGATGGAGCTATAAGTCAGGAACATGCTTTGCTCTCAGGAGTCTGAGGTTTGTGACCGTGTGGGACCAATATTCTTAGAATTTTGTTTTCTTTACATTTCACTCTGGGGGCTGCAAGGTGGATCGGTGGTTAGCTCCGTTGCCTCGCAGCATGAAGGTCGCCGGTTTGCGTCCCGGTGAGGACAACTGGGATCTTTTGCATGTTCTCCCCGTGCAGCGTGGGTTCTCTCTGGGTTCTCCGACTTCCTCCCACACAGTCCAAAAACATGTTGAGGTTAATTGGTGATTCTAAATTGTCCGTAGGTGTGAATGTGAGTGTGCTTGGTTGTCTGTCTCTAAGTGTAGCCCTGTGATATACTGGTGACCTGTCCAGGTGAACCTGCCTTCACCCTGAGTCAGCTGGGATAGACTCCAGCCCCCCACGACCCTAATGAGGATTAAGCGGTGTATAGATAATGGATGGATGGATGTTTGCTTTGGCTCCAGCACCAAAACTAGATGGTTAGGTTTAGGAAAATATCATATCCTTTGGTAACACTTTCAGAAGCTACACATTAGAAGTTTGGTTAAGTTTAATCACCAAAACTACTTTGCTCGGTTTATGTAAATAGCACAGTTCACGTGTAAGTGTTTCACAACAAGTTTAAAGTTTGTCCTTTATTTTCTTAGATATTCTGGCACATGTTAATTTGAAACATATCTGTAATACATCACAAACAAATGTTATTTGGTAGAAAATGTGTTTCCTTCAAATTAATATATTTAATTGCGTAGAAACACATCTTTTGAGACAAGGCTGATATCGCTGGCGTGGTTGTCTTCTACTTGTCCGTCACCTTGGATGGAAAGGTCAAGCGATGCTAAGTTGTTCTGAGTAATTACCTTTATCCCATGATAGAACATGTTCATCCTGATGGAAGTGGTCTCTTCCAGGATGCCTCCATACGTAGTTCACAAGGGGTCACTGAATGGTTTAACAAGTATAAAAATAATTTGAATCAGATGCTGCGGCCTTCACAGTCAACAGATATTAAAGACAGCGCTCCACCGCCATCATTCATATACCAAAAGAGGGAAAATCTTTTGGAATAGTGGTGTTCCACCCTCCAGTAGACTTCCAGAGATTTGGAGAATCAATGCCAAGGAGCATTGGAGCTGTTCTGGTCCCACATGGTGTGTTGTTTAGCAGGAAGTCAACGCACTATAAAGGCCAAAAAACAGGATGTTGTTTCTCAACTGTATCAGAAATGTGTTTCACAACTTATCACCAATCCTGAAAAAAGCAGACAATTAGCACGATAAATTATCAGTATGCAACTCTAATTTAACTTCTGTCTTCTCCTATGAAAGTGTTGGGCCCAGCTTCAACTACCTCCGTTCCTGGAGTTTATCACTGCCATTACTGCCGTCCTGCTGATTTACAGTACCGGGTGAATTCAATTACCTGTGGTTCTCTGTCAAGCTGCCCAAGTGAGAAATGGCCTTCATTTCACCTGTACAGTGTCGGCAGCCATCTTAACTGGTCCAGATGAGCAGTCCAAAGACAAAAGGATGAGGCTTTCAAAAGAATCAATTAGCAAATGTGCAAGTACATCGAGGAGCTTTTGAAAAGTTTTCTCGTCACGGAGCGGCACGGCAAGATCGCCCAAGGAATTCAGGTGTAAACAAGTTTACCCTGAATTAGATTTTCAATTTGACTCATTCGTCGTCACTTTTCTGTTGATCAATGGGCGCTCTCGCTGTCAAATAAAACTATAAATGAAAATGACAATGAACGATGCGATGAAGTCATTGTGGTTGCAACGTAGGCTGGCATCATATTATTCAGTCTATTCATCGTTGTGTCACTGTGGGAAGTCTGCGGTATAGAACATGTGTTCACACGAGGTATCATAAATCTCTTCTGTCACATACCACTGATAAGAGCCCTGACAGATATGACAAATAACCTCCAAATGGACCTTTTGATTTTTTGTTGTTTGACTTTCCTTGCTCTCATGAGGAGACCTGTAGAAGCCCTCCCCCACACAGCTGTTTTGTTTTGTTTCTTTGCTTTTCTTGTCTTTTTTTTTTCTTTCTCTGTGCAAATACCAAAACTGTGTTGATTGGTGCTCAGATTTACTTCCACAATGTGCATTTATCATCCACCGGGCCCCAGCGAAATTAAACGACTCTCAGATTCACGTTGGGATCCTGCCAGAGTAAATATTGTTGTCTGCTGTTAGTGATTACACACAATTGTTCCGAAGCTATTAAATTTGCAAAATGGCTCGGCGATAATGGAAACAAAAGCAAAGACCGCAGGAAGTCCAGAATTTCTGAAAACCTTTGTGTAATGGTAAGCAGGTGTGTGGCGGAATTCAGATCCCGTCAGCTGTGTAGAGTTTGATTTTTTTTTTTTTTTTCAGCGTCCGTATTTAAGCGATGCACTGATCAATTTTCAAAGCGGATCTTCCCTCCCCTGTATTGTAATGCCACTTCTCATGCCGTTCAACAATGCTTCTGCTGCCCTTGGTGCTGAGTGCCAGCACATTCCCCATTGACTTTGACTCCTGAGGAGAAGCAAAGGAGCCATTCAAAGAAGTCCTCAGCGGGGAGGGTCAGGCGGGACAGAATACAGATCAGGGGAGCTCTTCTCCTGCTCACATTTGTCCTTGGACAGGAGTGAAGGAGAATGGATAAAACTTCTCTGGTCTGCAACTTTTTCCTGTGACTTTAAGAGACTGGATTCGGGGTAGTAGACATGAGATCAATTTTGTGTTTTTCTTCATGGTCACTCAGTCCTCTCGGGGATGTCACGCAGGCAGATGTTGTCCTGCTTCATCTTTGTATGCATCCGGCATTGGAAATCTGTGATAAGTGGTTATTTAATTTTTTCGAATGTTTGTGTCCTGTAGGCATGTCCTGATATGAAAATTTCATAGTGCAGTCACATAGTTCAGCTGGTCTTGGCTAAAGTTATCTGTTCACGGTATCATCCTGGTAATTGGTGAAGTGGAGATAAAATTATTATGTTTACACAAATGTGTGTCTGTGGAGGAGTGGTGTGCGTCTGCCTCGGCATATTTCCACGTTTGCTATCAGACACCGCGGATGGAATGTTAAAATATTGAGCACTGATGCAGTTCTAGATGATCCTCCTGCATATGCATGTAAGCATATATGCTGCTTCTTCTCATTCTTTCTCCCTCTCTTTCCCTCTCCGTCAGGTAACTACCAGTTCTCCCCCACTGTGAACATGCCGCAAGATGACATAGTGATGATCGAAGACGATAGGCCACCCCTGCTTCCTGCCCACCTCTCTGACCAATCGTCTTCCAGTTCCCACGATGACATGGGCTTCGTGGGAGAAAACCCTGTCCCCTGGATTCATGAACTGCCCGGTCAGAATGAATGGTAAGCAGCGGCTTGATTCCTAGTTTGCGGTGGAGTCAGCTGAATTATTTATAACTTGATGGACTGCAGACAGCCTAGAAGGTGTTTGAAGAAAGCAGGACGATGTTTATGTGAGGTGTTGGTTGGCTAGAAAGGCCATCATTTGTGTACGCTTGTATGTGCCACTGCGGGGAGAATCGTGTTTCCTCGGTTTGTCTGGAAATCCAGAGAATCCGGTTTCTTGACTGAACATTCTGCAGAAATTGCAAGTTATTGCCAACATTTATTACAAAGTGTAATAGCTTTTCCTTAGCAGAAATGGGTAAACCAGACTGCGTGCCTTGGTGTGTGAACATGGCAAAGCCTGTGTTTGGTTCTGTGTGTGTTAAATAATGGATCAGCAGCAGCAGTCAAACTGTGAGTAAAAGACTCTCAGGGACTCATACAGAACTTGCACCTTTCTAGCCCCAACGCTCTTGTGGGATTTCAATCCTTCACTCAAGTCTGCAGACCTCAGTCCAACTGGAGCATCACCATAATAAAATACAGCCAGGGCTCATCAAGCCTGTCAGAGGACTAAGTGTCTTAAGCACAGGATGCCCAAAACACAAGGGTAGTTAAAAAAAAAAAAAAGAAGAAGAAGTGAGTTCCAGCACGACATCACTGTTATGTACCGATTCTTTTGAAAATGCTTTATTTCAGCTTTAAAATGCTTTTTCAAAAGAGGTATAATCACTCTAAAATTCCACAAGACACTTCTTGCATGATTGCGGTGCTCAGGTACCAGACATTTGTAGACAATCCAATCATGTAGGCACGTTTTCTCTCTCTCTCTCTCTCTATTGCCATTATACAATTTCATAACGATTTGTGCTTTTTCTTAAGATTGCCTGATTGAGGTCACGTGTGTGCATGCGCCAAGAAAACTACAACCTGAAAGACTTTTTTTTTCACTCTCGGCTGCCACAAATAGAGATGCCGTATTTATTTCTTTTTTTAGTATCTTGATTTTGTTTTCCCCGGAGACTCTCGACCCACCCCCACCTCCCACCTCACCTACCCTCTCCATCTCTCTCTCTCTCTCATTTATTATGAATGAGTGGATTTGCTCAGCATGCCTGTTGTTCACGTGATGTCAGAGGTTTGTCATAGTGGATTAGGTCCACGGCATATGGCTGAAACGCACTCAGACTTCCTCACACACACACACCTCATCTATGTACTCACACAAACACACACACATGCGTGCACATAGACATGCATGGCGTGTGCACACGAGGCAGGAGTGTGCTATATACCAGTGCCTAGGGTTATTCTGAATAATTCATGTCCTCAAAGTCACACACACACACACACACACACACACATCAGGTGCACCTTCTCCTTTACTCACATGCTAACAGCTGCTCAAAGCGTGTATCATCATTCTGACTGACTTATACTGTTTCTCATTTTCCTTTTCAAGTGCCCCTAACATCCCGGCACACACACACACACACACACACACACACATACACATGCACAGCGTTAACAGGCATACTGAGCCAGCAGGGGATGTGGGTCAGCCAGACTCCAGTGTACTGGAACTGTTACTTTTTAATTAAGCTCTTGCAGCAGTGCAGCCAGGGCTCTGTATGTACTGAATATGTATTGTGCAGAGCTGTGAAAGTCTCACCTTTGGCCTCCAGTATTATGCAGCCTTCCTTCCTTCCTCGTGGGAGATGCCTTGCCAAGGCCACAGCCATACACCTACAGTGCATACACAAAGTGCAAAAAAAATGGCTGGTTGGCTTGTAAAGTCATTGTAATTCAGGCCCTTTCTCCTCTTGTCCTGTTTTTTACCCACGGGACTTGAGCAACTTTGCATTTCCTATTTCTCTACTGTTTAATCCTCTTTATTCATTTATTTATTTTTCTTTCACTTGTAGTTGACTTGTGAAATGAATTCCATCCCTGCTCACTGCTTTCTATTAATTTTTGGGATGATTAGAAAAACAAATGGTGGTTATAAAAAGTAAAATAACTGATCAATCAATCACACATATTTTTCTCTCACCTGTCTTTTTCCTTTCTCTATTTATAAATGTGTGCTCTTATCTTTTCCTCCTCGATGTTTTTCTCTTTTTTTTCTTCTCCTTGGGTTTCCAGTAAATGATACGGCCCACGTGTTGGTGCGTTAATGGGTTGGCCCTCAAGATAAATGGTTGTTTTGAAGGCAGAAATCCCATCTCACACTCATAGTCGAGAGACATAAAGTGACCTACTTTCCTTCTTTTTTTTTCTTGACAGCCCGAGCTAATACCTAAATGGTGTGTGTGTGCTGTGCATTTGTGCATACGTGGTCTTTTCACATTTTGCTGCTTCGCCCTCCTTCGCTGTCCCATAGTTATGAACCATTGTTATATCACTTCAGCTTTACAGGCCTCAAATGAACATCAAACAGGTTGTAAATATTACAACCCAGTGCTTTTAGATCTGTGTTAAAACGCTAATGCACGAATATCCGAGCTGTTGTTTGTCGCTGCTGCATAACAGACTGTTTTATTAGCATTGTTACGAATTGCTTATTTTTTATCATCTAGGTGGTGGGAGTGTAAGTGTTAGCTCTTGGCTTGAGGATTCAAATCCACTCCAGAGTCTAGACAACCAAAACTTCCATACTTGAATTGTATTTGTTGATATCACAGCCAGCTGCAGAGGATTGTACCGGTTAAGCTCAGGCTGCCAGTGCGCAGGGTTAAAAAGAGTGTGTGAAAGTGATTCAAAGCAGTGATGGAAACCAGCGCGTGTCATCCGCCGGGTTACACTGGATAAATAAAGGTTGTAAATTATTGCTTTGCATATCTGCGCTAAGTTCATTTGAGTATTGGGTCCTGACCTGCTACATTAATTCCCTCAGCCGTGCCTGTCTCCTCCTTCATTAGTTTGAATCCAGAGCCAAACAGGAAGGGCTGTGTCTAAATGATTTACAGTTAAACAGATACGATGTACCGGCTGATGGAGTGGCTTTGCCGAATAATCTGGATAAATAAGAAGATAAAAGGTTTTTCTGTCGGGAACGGAATGTGGAACGGCGTCAGAAAAATTTAGCGCACACGGCTCTTGACACAAGCAGCTTCTTCCGAGATGAAAAAGGGAATGTTTCTAGCTTTTCCACCTGGTTTTCATCCCAGGAGTTGATAAAGAGCAGTCGCGGGGTGTGTCTGCTCACTCCAGCCAGGCTCCCAGTCCGTCCCTGCTGCTTCTTTGTAGACCTGCATGTTTATTATACAAATAATGAACTCGTGTTATACAGTCTAGACATCAGAGACGAGACACCCGATCTGCTATTTTAAGATCGCTTCAGTATTGCAGAGATGCTCCCGTCAGCTTTCCAACTAACCGCATTAAGTCTACGTTCCGCGGTGGTGTTTAACACTTGGGAAAGTTTTCAGCTTTCATTTTGGCTGCTCAGCACCGTCACCCACGCCTCTATGAATATTTCCCTTTTCACAACAATGCCCCCCTTGATACTTAAACAAATCCTCGCTGAGATGCCATCAACTTTGTCCTTCAGAAGCAAAAATAACAGCTTTTAAAAGTATTTGCGGGCTCGTATCGGAATGTAGCATCTCGAGAAAAAAAAGGCAAATCTCTGCGCTCGAGAGAAGTTTGTGAGAAGCACCGCGAGGATTGACGCAAAGCATATTGGCTTTGAAGATCAGGCTCTGTGAGAGAATGGAAATGTCTCTCCTCTCAACAACAATACCTCTGCTTCCTCATGCTGTGTTTCATTTGAACCCATGGGGGCTGTTTTTTTTGGTCAATAAGTGGCTTCCAGTTTTGACACACCTCATGACTGACTGTGGAAAAGTCTAAGAAACTATTAATTCCAAAAATATAATCCGTCATGCATAAAATCCTCGAAAAAGGGCCTTTTTTTTTATTGTCGTTTATCAGAACTACCTGTAATTACAATTTACTACAACTTAATACACCACTACAGGCCTTTATGTAATTACAGGAGGACAGACATTTAGTTTTCCCACATAATTACTAAACAGTACAGGTGATTTTTGCTGTAGTTTTGTACATATTTTTGCAGTACAAGGAGTATTAACAAAATGAATTTGAGAGCATCATTGAATATGAAATACCCTCCACAGGGACCGGGGCTGCTTTCACCACGAGGACACCTTTTGGAGTTTCAGCTCCAGTAGCAATCTGCATCAGTCTGAGTCTTGAACGTGTAATTATCTAACTTATGTGAGGGCAGCAGATGAGAGTGCAGAGTACTTTGAGTTGGCGCTGAGGTGCAGAAAAAAAAAAGCCAGGGGGGTGTCTGCAGCTTGCTCATCAGTCTGAAGTATGGGAAGTGTTGCACAACATCACTGAGAGCCAGGAACTACTAGCAGCTAGCCTGTGGCGCACCGACTTCTATTAGCATACCGAGCACTGTCATCGTAGCTGCCCTGCAGACTGCCTGGATTAGGTTTTACTCCTTGGTATGTGAGAGGCAGCGAGTGCTAAAATCTGATAATGGCCACTTGATATTAATTAATATCATAAATATGGTGCCATTTCTTAAATTATGTATTAATTTTACGGGATGTTTTAATTGTTTGAGCGTGTATTTGAAGCCTCTGGGTTTCACCATCACTCATTATGAAGTAAAGCCAGAATTCTAGTCACTTTTAAATTTAACGTCCCTTGCAATCTTTGCATATTCATTATTATTATTACTATCAATCAGTTTATTTAAAAAGGGACCATGCACAATGTTAAACATAAATGTTGCCATTTGATGTATTGCACCAGAGTTTGCTTTAAGCTCATTTCCATCTGGGCAGGTCACAATGAAAATATTCCAATATTAAAATGTCACAAAAAGCTGGACGATAAACTACATGACACAATGAAACACAACATTACACATACACTCTTAGAAGCACATACCAACACACACTAACACACAATACCCCTCCATCTTGCCCCTCAGCTGCTGTGGTGGTTGGAGGCTGACTTCTCTATGGGACAAATTG